AAAAACTAGTGAATTTTTTCCCCCCCCCGCCACTACCACTGGGAAGGTTTGGGAAACTGGAGAGCCCTGCTCAAAGGCCACTGCCAAAGGAAGTACTTCCTTCCAAAGGGCCCCCTCTCTCATCTTACCACCATCTAGGTTTAAAAAAGGCTGCAAGGTTAAAACCACACATTTAAAAAAAAAAAAAGGAAAAAGAAAAAGCCGAGTAAAAAGTTAATCCTCAACTCAAAACACACACAGAAGGCCGCCATTAACGTACATCGCCAACCTGCAGGTTACAAAGTGGGCGCAAGGCCTAAAGGGGAAAACACAGACCTGCGAGGCTGAGGTAGGAGGAAGCGCCTGCAGCTTGGGCGTGGAAGAGGGAATTCAGCAGTGAACCACCCGGGGCCAGGCTGGGAGAGCTGACAGCCCCCTGAGGCAAGGAGGAGGGCATCTCCCTCAGCACCTTCATATGCTCCGGCCGCCAGGGCGCTGCATTGCCTGGCAACGGGTGGGCGGGCTCTGCCCTCAGGGAGAGGGCAGGGGCCATGGTCAGGAGAGGGAGAGGGGGAGATCCATGAGGTTAAAAAAAAAAAGTGCGAGGTAAAAAAGAGCAATAAGGCCATGGGGGTGATGAGGGGGCTGGGGTCAAGGCCCGGAGCAGGGTCGCTGGTACCTGAGGTGGTTTGGTTGTGAGGCCCTGCTGCACAGCCTGGTCGGTGGATGCAACGCCCTCATTCCACTCGGGAACAGCCCTGCCTGCTCTGAGGAGCGTTGGCGTTGCTACCACCCCAGTTGCTCCGAGGTGGAAGGCAGTGGCTCAGGGAGAATCACAGAATTGTTGAGGCTGGAAAAGACCTCTGAGATCATCGAGCACACAGCTGGTGGGCAGCAGGTGAACCAGAGCAGTGGTGGTGGCAGCGGCTCCCCTTTGAGGGGCATCTCCTCACCCGCTGGAGCCGCCTCGGCGCTGCTGAGCCACGGCACAGGACTTCCTGCTCTGCCCGTGAGGGTGTTGAGATCGAGTGGAGCAGTTTCAGCCCCAAAGGGGTTCCCGATGCTATCCTCGCTTTGCGTATCAGGCTCCCTCATCTACAATAAAGTAATCTGGCAGAACGGTTCAGCGGGCTTTGTTACTGCGGCCATGTTTCTGCATGGGTTCAATGTGAAATTTGTGATTACTGCCATTCGTTTTCAAGCTATCCTGCGCTCGTTACAGGGAGCCCACAGGGCGGGAGATGAGGCCGATGAGAGAGGAGCCCAGCTGGCAGTTCAAGGATCCAGAGCTAACATGTGCCTGGAATACATGCTGAGTGATCTCCCATGGTGGAAAACCCTGGGAGAAAACGACTAAAAATGTAGGTTTCTCTTACGACACCAATGAGGCGGTTTCTGCTGAGAAATGTTATTCAAGTTCTTGTACATTTCTATTTGTAGAGCCACAGGACTCATATAAAATCAGCTAAAGATTGTCAATGGAGCATCATGATTTTTACAAGGTATGATTCCACAACTCTTAAAATAAGGCAGAAGGGTGGGGAGAAATGGAGGAATAGGTAAAGCCATTCCGAGTATAAATATAATATACTGTTGTTTATACTCAGTGTTCTGGAAGGCAAGGTTAGCCTTTGGGATTGTTTTTAATTGTATTGAAGTAAAAATGTGTTTGCGCATGCCAAACTTTTGTAGCCCACAATGAGTTTATTGCATATAATAATTATGGGCTCAGTAATTAAAACTTTAAAATTACTGTTATTTTATTTAATGTAAATGATAAATCAAAGATTTCATTTGACTTTTTATAAGTTAAAACTAGGATGTGTCAGAAACATCAATCTTAAATTTCATATAATAGTAATTGTCAGACTTCAAGTACAGGAGTTGCATGTATATAAAAGTCTTTAACAAGTCAAAAATACTGGCTAAAAGCAGAATTTCTTTTAATTTAATATACCGCTTTGAATCATTTATAAGAATAATTATTCAAGGCTATTGTTTTTCTTTTTAGGGCCGCTCCTCCAAACAAGAGGCAATAGCAGTTTCTGCAGTTGCTTTACAGGATCATATAATACACAGTCATGAGCTCCAGCATGTTTCGTTAGCAGATCCTTTAAGTCAAGGACAAGAAATACTCAGAACATTTATAAACCTGTGAACAAAGAAATGGTCAGAGCAATAGTAGGTACTGGACTAACAAAAAAGATCACTCAGCACAAAAACAAGGAAGATGCAGAAAAGGAGTATGTTCTTGATTTCAGTCCTCCACAGCTAACATTGGGTAAACCATTACATTCTGATTTGTGAATTTTTGTTTTTAATTTGAAATAAACTAGAATGAGGAAGCAAAGCTTTCTGTTCAATAAGATAATTTAATGCTAAACTGCATAAAATCTTTTTTTTAAAATTTGTCAGAATTCAGCAGTTTAGGCCATAAGGTAAACAATGGAATTGCCATCAGTGTCTTGAATGTGTCTTTTTGTATCTGAAATTCATTTAAAAATAATATTCTTGTGACATGGTAAAGATGCTGATGCATCTTAATGAAGAAGAATATTCATTAAGAGGTGAGAAGTCTTTTACACTTTTTTTAATATGTTTTGTGTGTTGACTGTCTAACTTTCTTTACCTTATATCCTCAAGGAAACATCAGTGATTTTGATATTGTATTTGTCTGGGTGAATGTTTTACTATTAAGGGAGTTTTAAAAGTCTATTTGAAATGGTTTATTTTACTCTTTATTCAGTAAAAATACATTTACTAGTGCTGCATTATACGTATTCTTTGTTAATATATACCCACCTTTACTCAGAGTTAAAAAGGTTTGGTTTTACAATGGTCCTCGGGCTAAACCCAGGAAGAATTAACACCTGTAGTTAAATACCTTTTTCAAATTTAGAAGCAAACATGCAAAAAGATAAAAGTCACAGATGTGAGGGCTTGGAATGGTGCCTGGTGAGAAAACTCACTTTTTAAATAGTATTATAATCATACAGTTGTGCAGCAGCGACAGATAATATTGCTTAAAAAAACAAAACCAGGGAGAATCATAACAGACCAGTAGTCCAAGTGTGCTTCCTGCCTGTCAGCTGAGGTCTTGTATTTCCCTCTTCTAACAATTTCTGCAGTGTTGTTGCCATGAGCACCGTGTCTCCACTCTTCCAGTTGTCTTGACTAGGCATTTCTTAAAGGACCTTCCAGCTCCACAGTCTGCAGTTTTAAGCATAATAAACTTGCGTCATCATTAGTGATTGTTTTATTCATTCTTTTTCACAAAGATGCCCTTAGGCCTCTCTGAAGATCATGTTGCTTTTGCTCTAGTAACTGTCACAGTAGTCCCGGCTCTAAAGAGAACCATGTAAATCAATGAGGCTCCATACAAGCACAGGCATCTGCCTTTGGAATCAGCCGAAGGTTAAGAGGGTAACTTAAGATAATACACACCAAGTGAGTGTAACAAGCGATAAGACAAAGGTACTAAGACAAGGTGATTATTACTATGTTTCTGTGGTTTTAGTTCTAAAGATGGGAGAGTTTTTTCTTTAGTTTGTTTTGAAAAGACATTTGGAAGAAGAGAGGGTGCTGGGGGAAAAACAGCAGAGAGGGACTGGGGGTAACACAAATATAAATAGTGACTGAGTAAAGAAGTTAAAGGTTGTGGTGAAAAAATGCAGCCCAAGTGTGAGCATGTTCTCTGCAGTTATAAGAAAGACAAAGTATTTTCTCTTTAAATCACAACATTAACTGAGTGTTCCATGCGAATTCTTGTGCAAGTGATTTGAAAGAATGTGCTGAAAGATTTTTGTAAAAAATTACAGTTGTTTCTGTGTGTTGCTTATTAGTATTTTCACCTATAGTCTCAAATTATTTCAAAATGCTTAAGTCAAGCTTTCTTAATAAGAATTATGTGGTTTAAGTCTTACAGCTGTGAAACAACTTTGAAACAGTAATACTACTTTTTCTTCTTGAGTTTGGGGGTAATTAAACAAAATCTCACAGGCCTGTCTCATTATATTTTTCTCAATAGGGACTTGAGTCCTTAAATAATAACAGATTAAAGGTTAATGTATGTAATCATTTTGCTGATGTTCATTGCAAGATAAATAACTCGGTTGTAAACTGGTGTGTCAATAAATGGGTTGGGCCTGTAAATTTGATGCATAGGTATGAAAAGGCTTGGATGTCTTGAGCTGTGAGAAATGTAAGCTTTCATTGTTTTTATTTATTCAAAGTGCTGCATTGAGAATATCTTTATAGACCCTTTTGCTTCAGCCATATCTGCCTTCTTGCATGCCCTAACCTTGCTGCCAATTTTCCTTCATCAACTGTGTTGCATAAAAGCTTTCCTTCAAAACACCTGTATAACCTGTCCCTCAAAAATATCCCATCTGGTTCTTATTATTTAAAAGTTAGGTTTTGCCACCAGACTCTTCCTACTTGGGGGCTTCAATCATCTATTTGTGCAGATTTTAAGTAAGCATTTTTTCTTACCCCAGCATTATACAAAAGGCTTTTCTCAAAGCCAGCTCTTTATTTTCCTTAAAACAGTCTCTGACCACAGTGCTTGGAAGAAAATCAAAAGCAGACATTTTTAATGTTGTAATACTGTCCTGCTGTGGCTGGTTTGCTGCTTTGATCACTCCTTGTGTATGCAGATTTCCTCATCATAAAGACCATCGCATCTGTATATTGGACTATCAACACTGGATCTTGGTTCCGTACTCATTCACTGATACTCGTAGGTATTACTGTCAGATGAAACTTTATGTATGTTTTTACTGAAACTTTTATCATGTATTTTATAATTTGACTCTTCTTTTGTATCAGAAACGCTGATCTGTGCAATATATGCTCTTCAAGAGTGGTCAAGGATTTCCCACCTGGTCAGGGAAACTTCCATGTCACTCAGCTACCAATTTCAGCAATTCCTGCGTAAGCTTTAAGCAAAATACACGTTCTGAAATATTTTTCAGACTCTAAAAAGTTTTCCGGATCCTTCCTATTTCTTTTAAACCTTATATTATTTTGCACTGTCAGGAGCACCAGATAAAAGCATTTTACTGCACCAAAATTGATAGGCAATGCTATTTTATGTTAATACAGTGTGTATTTTGCCTTCTGAAATTACAGTGCCTTAAATATCACAGAATCCGAGGAGTTGGAAGGGACCTTGAAAGATCATCTAGTCCAGCCTCCCTGCCAGAGCAGGATCACCTACAGTAGGTCACACAGGAACACGTCCAGGAGGGCTTTGAATGTTTCCAGAGAAGGAGACTCCACAACCTCCCTGGGCAGCCTGTGCCAGGGCTCTGTCACCCTCACAGTGAAAAAGTTTTTCCTGATGTTTTTGTGGAACCTCCTATGTTCCAGTTTGTACCCATTGCCCCTTGTCCTGTCATTGGACATCAATGAAAAGAGCCTGGCTCCATCCTCCTGACACTCCCCTTTGACATATTTATAAACATTTATGAGGTCACCTCTCAGCCTCCTCTTCTCCAAGCTAAAGAGACCCAGATCCTTCAGCCTTTTCTCCTAAGGGAGATGTTCCACATATGGACGTGCTTTGGTGCTTGACACAGAGTAGTTTGAGTTGTAACCCATCACCTTCAGGTAGAGCTGGGAGCTCCTGTGCCTCTGGAGGTGCTGTGTGTGTGCCTGGGTATGGAGTTGTCCCGGAACTGAGAAAGTGAGTCTCTAAGACAGGTCATATGTGACTACCAGGTCCATAGATACAAATTTTGTTTTGATGCTTAAATGCACATGCATTGCTTACCTTTGACTTGATACCTTCACATGGGTAACGAAAGAAACAAGGTCAGATCTGTGTGGAAAAAAAAACAATAAGTAGAGAAAGCTCTTTCCAAAAGCATAAACTGGCCTGGCTTGAAATCTCAGTCCTATCCTGTTTTTCTAAGACATGGAATCAATTTGATTTATGTTTGAATGATGTCATGAGCTCACAAGGAAGCAAGTTAGGCAGATAGTTCAACTAAGGGGAAGAAGTTATTCCTTATAATTACTTTAATACCTCACAACATCTCTTTAAAAAGATCAAAGGTAGTTTTGTGCAAATTTTAAATGATGGAGGAGCAGAATTTTTGTCACAAAAACTAACAGATCTTATCCTAGTATGATCCACTTGAGCAAGTGGATAACCAAAACCTCATTCTTTGGTTCATTAGGATTCCTTTTCTGTTCATGACTAATGAGTTTAACGGGTTTGGATACACAAGCTGTCTGATGGGAGTTTGACAGGTTATACAGAACAAGTGCTGCTTATTCATGTCTGGTTTATGCAAAGATTTGGTGTGAATGAAAGAGTTGACTCGGTCCTGCCCATTTAGAACTAACGCTCTCATTGAGGTGTCATCAGCTTGCATTCTAACTGTTACATGTCCCTCTTCTTTCCTTGGTTTAGCAAATACTATTGAGAACTCATCATGGACTCATGTTACTCGCTTACGCCACATACTTTGGACATTCCTCCACTGAAATTGGTCTGTCCACTCAAGTTGCTTCCTCTGGTCCTCAAAGATGACAAAGATCTGTTCTTTGCTGTACCCACCAGCATCTTTTACTACTGAGACAGTGGCTCTGGAGTTTATCTGCCGTTTGTGGGAGCAGCAGGGAATACTGTAAGTGTTGTCACTGATTCCTTCTTTGAGAAGGCAGAGATTTCACATGGATGTGCAGCAAGGCTCCGGACAGTTGTCATTTAAGATCCGCATGCTCAGCTATTGCAGTGACACTATCACTGGCGTCTTGTGACCATCTCTTTGTTTCTTTATGCTCTTTATTTATTATTTACATTTTGGTATTCTGAACCAGCAACAGGTTTTTGTTAGACCACTTCATTTTTATTTCAAGAGTACAAAAACGCAATGTTGAAGAAACCATTGTGAATTAATTCTAACAGAGATTTTGCTTATACCAATGATTTGAAATTACGTTGTTGTGCATTGTTATATTGCCTAGTTAATAACCCGTATCTTAATGGCTGTGAAAAGGTATCAAAATAAATTCAAAATACTCAGCAAATAAAAGTTTATGTAAAAGAATACCTGTGTAAACCCTCTGTGTAAAAGATATTCTGACAATTACTGAATAGCTAATTAATAGTAAAATATGTGTTTCCTGCCAGTGATTTGGCTGATGATAGATTTATATGAAGTATCTGTATAAAGTAGTTTTTAAAAAGTGCATCATCGATAAATTTCACATTAGGGGAATCCATTGTCTGTGTTTTCCAGTGGGTTTTATTCAGCATTTTGTTGTTGTTACTGCCTACAGGTCAAAAACTAGGCCTGGTTGAGCCTCCTTTCTTGCCGCTAACTGCTGAAGATTGGGTAGAAATAAGGCAGAGATCCATAGAGCACAGAGACTCCACGCAGCCGTGTGTGCAGTATGCAGGGAAGAGTTTGCACTTCAGCCTCAGGTATGTGTATAACTGCCTAACTGCGTGGACTACACAGTTGTTATTTTTAAAATTTCCAGTAATACTGCTAAAAATCATTTGCTGGAGGAAGAAAGGAAGGGAAGATTCTCTATAGCATTTGATAGTTGGATGCATCTGTCAGTGGCCAACTCTGAAAGCATTTTGGATGTGACATGGTAGAGAAAGGTTAGTAGTGTTTGTTCATTTCTGAAGTTATGACAGTAGAGGAGGAGGTGTTCAGCCTTTTTATCTGTTCTTGCAAAGCAGTTATAGGCTATTTTCTGCTTCATTTAAACACCTGTTAGATGTGATCCTAGCCTTCCTTCATCAGATTGGTAAATATCCACTAACTATACAATTTAAGATATATTTTATTTTCTCACAAGTTTTGTTAATTGCAGTTTAATTCAGTCATCGTATCTATTTTGAAAATGGACGTTGATGTTTTAATCCCAGTCAGTCACTTCCGTAGATTCTCTGAAGAAACACATGCATTTTACCTTGATGGCTTTATTCAATACTTGTGTGTAGCATAAGCATAAATAAATCATGCTTTATTAGACTCTCTCATCTTGAAAATATTAATCAAAAGGGACAAGTGACTGATTGAAGAGGAGTGCTGCTTCAGAGAGGTGATGATGGTAATTAGAAGAATTATCCCAACTGCATGCAAGTTTCTTTCCAAGGTGCATTTTAGGCTCTTTTTTTTTCTGCCTGTTCTCCTTTTAATTTTTCTTGAAGATTTTGTACAGCAAAGGCTGTGGTGTGAATAGAGGTCTTTTAATGACCTTAGATAGAGGGCTTTTGCTTCCTTTTACATCAACATTAACTGAAGGTGTACAATTGTCCACAGACAGGTGGGATGGATCCAGCAAAAGACCATTCTGCCAGTTTCTGGCTAGCCTGAAAGTCTAAAGCTTGAGGAGAGAGAGCGAAAGACAGCACTCATTAAAAAGGTTACTTCAGATTTGGCACAAAAAGGGAAATGCCTCTGGAATTCTTCTTGTCCTTCACGGGAAAAAAGCCACTGTATCTGAAAGCTTTCCCTTCAGCTGGCTGCTAGCCATTAATCCTTTTGTGCTTGCCAGCTCAATAGTGCACACTACTTGTTCGGGTTTTCACTCCTTTCCCAGTTTTTCCTTCCTCTAAGAGCCAACTGCCTTTTTTGTCCAACTCTGTATCTTTTGTCAGGATGGAGATCATCAACATTTGGTGGGAATTTAGGTCAGATAAAGGTGAAGGTTTCTTGTAGCCTGTGAACATGCTTTCTCTTTTGATTTGTTTTTTTTGTATGTGCGAAATGCTACATTTGATGTGTATCACTTCTTGAAATTTAACATCTCTGTGGGGAAAGGGAAAAATATTAATCAGCTTTCATTTTAAGTACTTGTTTTGTAATCTCCTCCACCAGTCAGTAGCAGTTGGCATTTCTTGCTTTCTGCCACTCCATGTGTTGTTAAGGTAAAATTTGCATATTGGTTTAAGATATTAAGTAATTTCTGTAGGAGATTAATTTTATTTTCACTGGAAAGACTGCATTAATAACAGAAAGAAACTGATGACCTTTCAGGTAGTCAGATTTTTTTCTGTCAGCATTTTTTACTTTTCAGCTTTTAGAATGGTTTGATGTCAAGTTTGGTTGCTGGTTTTTTTTTCCTTTGAAAAACAGGTGCTGCTTTCATGTTCCCATGTGTTCCATAAAGTGAGTACACCTTTATATAACTGAAGCACATAATACATGACTATTTTAATTAAACGTACTGAATATCTTAATGAATTAAATATAATCATCTTGCAAAGTAACTTTGATTTCAGATTTTTATGGCAAGAAATACAATTTAAGGCTATTTTTATGATGAAGCGCTTTATTCCATTTTATACCTTTTTTAAAAACACCTGGGAAACCGTAGTTTGTAACCAAACTATACATTTGTATACTAAGCAGGAATAGTTTAATCCATGAAATTCCATGTGACTATATGGACTTTTCCAAAATTCTCTTAACACTTTAATTACAAAAATATGCATCCTGTAGAATATTCACGGACTGATAAATAAACTGCTTTTACATTCTGTAACCTATCTTGTTTCATCTGTTCCAATGGTATGAAATACACTGTAAGTAATTGCAATTATTTTTTTCAGGCATGCCTGAAAGCCTTTGAAAAGCTTGCAGGTAAAAAAGTCATGTTCTATGTGTAGAAAAGAGCAGTATCAGACCAGACTAATACATGATGGGGCACGTTTGTTTAAAATAAAGTGCGCTGTTAGGTAAGCCTTCCTTCTGCTACAGGTGTTGTCAGTGGACACTATTTATTTCTAAATAATGTTCTAAATTTGTTAAAATTTTACTAGAATGAGAAACTAGACAGAATGAATGCACTGCAAAAGTTAGAGTTTTTAAAAATCTGCATAACATGATTGTTTCATGCAGATATATAAATTTGAGTTTCCTCTTCTTGAGCAAAATTGTGTCTTACAGAATCCAAGCTTCCCGGAGGGGACATAATGTTAGAAAATGGTACAAAAACTTGAGAAAAACAATGCCTCCTAAAGACAGCAAATTAAGAAAGCAATTCTTCGAGAAAAAGGTATGTTGCATTTGTTCATTTGATTTGATTCACCTCATCTAAATCAAAACCCCTGAGTGTCAGCTCTCTGCCTTTTCATTTACTCCTTCTCATTCACATCAAACTGGTTGTTGTTAGTTGGTTCATCCCGTTCTCTTTATAATGTAGAAGTAAGGAAAATAACGTAAATATTTAATTTTAAGGCTTGTCTTTTGCCTGTGCCAACACTAGCAGGCTTTGTGTAAGGCTCCATATTACCCTCCTCTGTTTGATAAAGCACAGTGATCTGTTTTCCTGTAGAATGATATAAAGGAGATATAGCAAGAGGAGAAACAAATCCGTAAAACTTCTTTCCACTGTCATGATTCTCTCAGTGCACACTGAAGCAGACGGGTCCATTCCATAGCTTTGCCTTTCTCTAACTTCAACTCTGAGGCGAATCAGACTGTAACAAATGGGGGTCCTGACCTCGTGCAAATGAGGCCAAACCAGGTGCAAGCGTTTTGCAGTGACCCCGCTTGCTTTTAAGCACAGGAGCTGCTGCAGAGCTCCTACGCGATCCTCAAGTCCTCCGTTGCCAACTTCCAGTCAGTTCCAATCGGTTGTTTGTGGTGGTTGGTTTGTTTGTTTGTTTTTTTAATCACTGCTTTAGTTAAACAGAAGAGAGCTTGCAGAAAATAGCCTCTTACTGTCTGTTGTCATTTCTTGGTTGTATTCTGCCGGAGGAGAGCTCTGGAGGCCAAGTGCCCCTCTTGCTGTGCTGTGTATTTATATACGAGAGGGAGATGGGTGGCCCAGAGGTGGTCAGGCTGTTGTAACAAAACTGGTACAGCTGTTCTGCTCGTGTGGCGACGGTGGCAGGGGCGAGAGAGGGAATACCGCGCTCAGCCTTAACGCTGCGAGCTTGCTGGTTGCCGCGCTGCCTTTGTCAACAAGGCAAAGTGCTCCCCTGTAATGGAGCAAATAACGCATAGGGGAGTAACTGAAGAAAGCTAGTGTCACATCTGAAAGTGCTCAGATGCTTGGGTTTGGAAGAGGTGAATCCTTGGGTGGATTGTGACTGTCCTCATGTAGCACAATGAGAACAGAAGAGAGAAACACTCGGGTTTTTCTGCTTGGAAGAAGTGGACAAACAGCCATGCGCTGCTTTCCCGGTAAGGCTGGCTGGTTTCTGTGGGTTCAAGAGGCTGTGCTTGGCTGTAAACAGGGTCTCAGTAAAGGGAAGTTGAAAGCGGCTTCTGAACACGCTGCAGGTTGCAGCTGAGTGTTGTTTGTTCAAATTTCTGTCATGGAACTTCAGAGGGCTGCAGCTGCAGCCTGCCAAGCTGCCTACATGGGGCCAGCACTCAGGCCCTCTGTCTTATAAACCTGTTTCAGGGAGAAAACAAGCCTGATGGAGCGCCCACACTTCATCACATGATTATAAGCTATGGGAAGGTCTTCATTAAATGTAGTTTCCATATACTCCACAGCATTAGGAAATCATTCCTCCATGTAACGCTTCAGGATTTTGCAGGGAACGAAATGGGCACAACTTTTTCAACTTCTATTAAGAATAAATTTATAAAGTCTTCTCATATGGTTTAGCCAGGTTTAAATGAATTCAGTATCAATTGTGATTAAAGGATATATACTTGTTTCTCTTAACAGCTTTCAAGTGGGAATTGCAGATGAGCTTTCCTGCTGTTTGCTCTTATATTTTTAAGTGTTGGTTAATGAAAATACTGAAGTCATTTTTCACAAGGAGCTATCAATTTCCAGATGGTAAAAGCTTCTTTAAAATAAAATTTGCCTCTCAAACTTGTGCTGTGCTCTTAAAACGTCACTCCCTAAACATTAGCATAATCAAACGGCCTCACAAATGGAAAAAAAAAATCTCTAATTTTTAATAACCCACCTCCTCTGGAAAGATCACAAAGGTTAAACATCAAGTTTCATATGCTTAAATAAATATCACAAAATAAAAAACAAGGTCTGAAATGCTAGTACTAGGAAGGACGTATATTATTTGTTTCAGGGTGCTACAGTAGCCCTTTTTACACCTAGCATTAACATTTTTAATAATCGAGATCAAAGGAGATAAGAAAGGTCACTGAAACCAAAGTAGGCTACTCTTTAGCACTACTACACACAGAAAGCAGGGCGTTGCTTCAGCATGTTAGGTCGGAAATTTCTTTGATCCTACCTATAAATGTCACTTCTGTATGTCATTTAATTGTGGTTTAGTCTTTTATTGGTGCAATTAAATCTTTTCAAACGCATTACATTATCTCCAGCTTTGCTAAAAATCCTGCCATTGTTTAGGAAGCGAGGTAAGTCATTGTGCAATGATGTAGTTGACTTTAGTTTCTTCCCCCACCCCTCCGCCACATGATTTCTCCCACCGATTTTAATTTAAATCTCACCAAACAGTATAATGGTCCTGGAATTTGTTTAGTCCTTTGACTTCCTTTATCACCAGGAGATGGTAAACATTCTGTTGCTAACTTCAAGTGGCTCCAAGCAGCAAAACTAGGAGGATATTAAACCAGTAAAAGCTTATCAACCGATTCATTGATACGCTGTAAATTCCAGCCTTTTCATTTTACTTTTGAGGTTTGCCATAAGTCAACACATTAGTAAGCAATTTGCTGACATTGGATCACTTAAAAAGGCTTCCCCGTGGACAAAGTTCACCTCAGTGCTTTGTTTCATCATTTTACTTTATCATAGTCTTGTGCTGCTGTACAGATGACTGATGTAGTTGTGCATAGCGATTGAGTATTTCAAATATTCAGTTTAGGCCATTCCATTTAAGTTGTAAGAAGTCACAGACGTAAAATGTAGAGGTCTGGTGTTTTCAGAAATAAATTAATCAGTTTCAGCAGTTCTAGGGGAAAAAAAAGTTTTTTCAGCACTATGCGTTAAAACACAGAGAGATTTAATTTTTAAAACCCAGAACATGGCAACATTAACAAATTATACAAAATGCTTATTTCCTTTCCATTCTAGTTAGGAGAAGTTTTAGGTTAAATTTCAGTTACACTTTCTTTTTCTTCCCAACCTTAGACTTTATTCACCGATTGATACCTCTGGGTTGGGTCAGGTCATACCGCAGAAAATACAGGAGTAGCTCCAAGCAGATAGTATCTTAGCAGCAGGGGAACTTCATAGATCACCATCTCAGGCAGAAGAGTTTTCCTCTTGTTATTTTTACAGTTCCTGCTCAAGGAGGCTCATGAGAGTACTTTGAGCATCACTTAGTGAAGTGGGGAAGAGAAACACAAGTGCAAGCCCAGGGAAGAACCGGAGGGCTTCTCCTGCTGACGGAAACAAAGGAACCAGTCGCGCAGGCACCGACAGACGTGGCCCTGGCACCAGGGCTCAACGCAACCCACCCCCTCGCTGCCCCGCTCTCACCTCTCCTCCTCGGTTCGTTTTCCTCAGTGGCCTGGCTGGTCATAGTGTAGCTCACAAACACACGCCAAGTCCCAGAACCGACCACCCAATGTCTGTGTCGCACTCACATTCAAAGAGTAAGGGCAGAGTTAAACACTGCTGCTTTTCCTCAAATTTTGGGTCACGAGAGGTGATTAGAAAGGATTGTTCTGGCTGTTCTAGCTTTCTGTTACATCCCCCCGGCTTGCTTACAAAAAGAGGTTAGGTCTGGTCGAGGTTGATATCAGTATAAATGAAGATCAAGCACAAATCAAGACCAAAAATGTTTTAAAATGGATCAACCTCTTCTTGGTGTTGAACAGAAGCCACAAAATATATAAGGTTTAGGTGAAATCTTGTCCTTTTCTTCCTGAAATCAGATTTTAAAGTGAAATCAGTAAGAGCAGTTAAAATTGCAATGTGGAGTAGATTCGGTTCTAGAACTGAGGTAAGAATAGCTCAGATAAAACTGACTAGGATTGTTATTGCTTAATTAAATACGTAATCACATTAAAATATTAAAGACACAACCTAATTGGAGTTTATTGCATTAGAGTTTCACATCTCATTGAGGAAGCCCACAGCACCATCGCTTGGGATTGTTCAGAGGCCACAAAGTGTGGTGGAATTCGTGTTTGTTTGGTTTTTGTGTTACACAGACCCCTGAAGGTCGGGGTGCATGTTTGCATGGGAGACCATCAGATTTTTTTGCTTCTTGTCAGTGAACAGTGATGAGGGGAGCACAGATTACCCGCCTGCTCTTTGCTACAGGTAGAATTCCCTCTCAGAGTATTGAAGGGGCTGCTGCTTTTCCTATCACGCTGTGATTTAAATACATAAGGGGTCTCAGGGGATATTTTTCTTCTTTTTTAAAAAAAGTTGATACGTCAGCATTAAGTAACAAGGTAACTATGTAGTGACAAATGGATCCATCCTTAAATACATTGTTGTGTTAGGAAATTCAGCAAATCATAACAGATTTCAGTTTGCAGTGAATCAGACCATAGAACACAAAATGTGAGAAAAAAAAAATCAACTGAGGCGGTTTTTCATAGTTTTAGAAGGAAATTTAGGAAATTCAAAGTTTAAAGGAAATCTTGAATGTTAAATGAGCTTTTCAGACAGTTTCTGTGAGGTTTTTGTGGGAATTGGGCTCTTGATTCCTCTGGGTATAGAAAAGTTTACTTTGAATATCCTCATCTATGCTATGAAGGGTCGCTTTAGCAGTTGTAAGGGAGCACGTGTGCTTGTAGAGAAAAGCTACAACATGAAAAGAAACAGTAGTAAAATGTTCGAGTACCATCAGGCTGTCTAACCTTGACAACAACCCTTCTGCCACCTCCCCTCCCCTCCCACCCTCCCTGAAGAGACAACTCTGTTTTCCTACCACGCTTTCTCTCTCAGGAGACGCACGGAGAGAACGGTTCCTGGCACAGGTGTTGAAACGTTCCTCAAAACTGCTGAAAGCATTCGCAACCGGAGTCACAAAAGATAAGTCCAAGACTCGTGTGACTCTACGGAATTTTCAGATGTCATGGTAGCAGTGAGGGAAAGTGGCCAGAGTGAGTCAGGATTGTGCTCAGGGAGATGATGTCAAGTTTAAGAAAAGCAGTCATGGCTTTTAGGTATTTATTTCACTGAGCACGGAGGGGCGCATCTTCAGATGTGATGACCACGTTGCTTGGGCCTATGTGCAATATGTGGAAATGTATTTAAGGGTACAGGTCATAAAAGTCTGTGCAAAGGACAACACCTAAGATGACGCTTCTGTTGCTGGTTCTCACGCCGTTAACCAGACACGCTGGTTTCCCAACAAATAACAGTGCTCAGCTAAGTTCTGTGCTTTCTCCACTAACGCAGCTGTACCCTCTGCGCTGCACCCCCATGGGTTCAGAACAGTACAGCTGACCTGGGAAAGTTCAGTGACGAAAATCCCATGTTTTGTCCCTGAAGGATAATGGTCCATCTGTGGAGTCCAGCAATCTGATGCTTTTAACCTCTGAATCAGCGCCGGACACCAGCTGCAGCTGGAACATGATTCCATGGATCATGCAACTAACCAGGCCCTCTTGTCCGATCACTCACACTTCACCCATATCTGAGCTACCCATAAGTAACTCCACACTAACAGCAGTTCAGCAGATCAGTGAGTGCCTGTTGAGCTCTTACAACATTAACCCAGGTGAATTTTTTTCTGAGACAGACTATTCTATAGCTGCAAGTCAAGATGTGTTTCAGCAGTTGGAAGGAAAAGAAAAATTAGTAAGTGAAACTGACTGGGAGGAGATCCAGGTCCAGGTTGATTGGCTTTTGGTTGTTTTGTTTAGTTTTATAAGTAGTTTTGTATTTACAGGCTCTTTTATGCTCTTTTGAGGCATGAGAGTATTTTCTTAAATTTTGGCCCATCTGTTCAAAATCAGAAATATTAACGTTTTTAAAGATCAGCAGCATCTCTCTTCTACTCAAATGAGACTGGTAGACAAAATTGAGAATCAAAATGTTAATAGCTTCTCCAAATACACACCAGTAATAAAATTTGAGTATTTGAATTAGCATAGTGCTGATATATTTACCTTCCACTGTTTCACTCTAGGTTTGTTTGTGTTTTACTCAGGCATTTCAGAGATACTTGACTGTCCCATCTGTATCACACCACTCAGTCTTACAGTTCATCCTGCCCGTCACTTTTCTGGTAACAGCAAGCAGTTTTCACAACAGATCATTCTGCTTTCTTGTTCACGCTTGTTTCATCATACCAGTCTTCAAGCATTTGAAAACCTTTCCTTAGGGGAGAGCGTACTTGTCCTTTATGTCGCTCATCTTATCAAAAGAAAATCCTCAGATGTTGATGCACATGGCTCACAGTGAAGTCCCACGTAGCTGACAGCACAGGTACTTCCAGTCTGGAGACTTCTCAGAGTCAGATCTTCCAAGAACAGATTATTTTGTATGGACAATGCCACTCACCTCATATTTAAAGAAGTAAAAGTCAGAAGGATGCTGTTGCTTCCTTTATACACTCAGTTTCACCTTTGGTCTTCCAGCATCCTTATTCTTGCTCCCTCTGTCACTCTCTTCTTTCTCCATTTTCATTTTCCTTTCCCAAAAGATGAGCCCTGGTGGTTTCAGGTCTTGTGTTCATTCCACAGCACTGCATCGTTATCCTTCACCTGAGTTTTACACCTGATTCTTGCAGCACAAGTTCCCACTCACAAGGACTGCAAATTGTAGTTGTAGCAAGAAATGTTCTCCTTCAGCCACAGTTACTAACTAGAGCCCTGGCTCCTGCTCAAACAGTTCTGACCAGCTTCAGTGAGCTATGGGTAGATAAAATGACCTTAAAAATGCAGGATCAGTTCAGAACTTCAGAGAACCTGGAACCACAGTAAGTACTGACCCCTCTCAAGAGAAATAAAAACATAATTATGACTTTTCAGCTTTGTGTTGCTGAAACTGTGTCAGGTCACTGCAGGTAATTTATAAGGAAAGCTGAGCACATAATGGCAAAAGTCAGAAGCAAAACCAAAATGAAATAGCAACGTATCAGGGTAACAAGACATTTCATCTCGCAAAACAGGGCAATAACTGATCAACTGCACAAACAGGCAGCTTCCAAATAGTCCTGGCAAGCTCAGGTAGCGTCCTGCATTGAGTGAGGGTGTCACAGAGCAGAAGGTCACAAGCTGGAAGTGGGAAAGGCTGTATCACAGACTCGTGATTTAGAAGAAACTAAAACTGAAAAGTAAAAA